GTTTTACACAACTACTTCCTGTTCTGCGAATTAAGCGTTACTGTGCAGGATTTCCCTTTGCATTCTTAGCTTGAATGCAGGTGGCTGTCACAGGTTAGCCTGCAGCTTCCGAAGGCAGCGCTTGGTTGTTTTCCTGTTGAACACAGCAGGTTAAACCATTAGAGGACTCCTGTCCTCTCAGGTACTTAGCCACGGCAGTTTGCTGATGTGGCCAATCAGACGCGCACATGTACAGTGACATCTGACGTCTCCTCCATTTGTCGCCTGTGAGGTGAACATCTTGCCATGCGTTCAATGGTCTGTGCTTTCCTCCTCAGCAGCATTTCGGCTCCTCTTTTCTCTATGCATTGGTTGTATTTTTCTTATTTTTTATTCTTGATCCTGGCCCTTATAGAATATGAGTGTCATAACTATCTTCCAATTTGTGATGTCTTTTCATTTTCTTTACTGTAGTTTTGATAACTAAATGTTCTTTTGATGTTATCAAATGTATTAATATTTTTACTTTATGATTAATGTATTTTGTGTATTTTCCTTTAAGGAAATAGCCACTCTAAATCCAAAGGATAGTCACTTATATTTTCTATTGAGAATTTCAAACTTTCAATTTTTGAGTCCTTAACGATTTCTGTGTGTCATGAAAAGTAGAGATCAAGATCCCTTTTTAACATGTAAATCATCATTTTGCCTTCCATTTATGGAACAGCGACAATTTTGCCAAGTGAAATGGGAAGCCACCTCTGGGATGTACTAAAATTTCATATATACAGTACATTAATCTACTTCGCTGACCTTTATTTAGGTGAACTGATCAGTTTTTACAGTCCCTCTACTGTTACTAAAGTGCCTTACTTTTGACTTCTTTGTGACAATCCTCATGATAATTAGAGGAAAATACTGATAATAATTAGACCAATTCTCCTAACCTGTTATTCTTCTTCAGGAAATACACTGGCCATTTGTGGTCCTATAATCACAACTACATAATAAATCCTTTTATCCATGAAAAATTCTGCTTTTTAAAATTAAAATTACATCTATATTTAGCCAAGCACCTGTTTCCCAGCACTTGGGAGGCTGAGGCAGGAGGATCACTGTGAGTCCGAGGTCTGCCTGGACTACGTGGTGATTTCAAGACCAGCTTGAATTACAGAGTGATACATTAGTATATAGACAAATAAATAAAAAAGCAAACTTGGAAGAATTGACAACTTCATAGTATCTTCTCATCATACAAATGATATTCTAGCCAGGGATTTAGCTCAGCGACATAATCACCTGCCTGGCAAGTGCAAGGTCATGAACTCAATCCTTGGTACAGAAAGAAGAAAGAGAGAGAGAGAGAGAGAGAGAGAGAGAGAGAGAGAGAGAGAGAGAAAGGAAGGAAGGATATTCTATTCACACCCATTGTCTTTAATCATGTCTAATAATGTTTTATAATTTCCTCTGTAGGCTTTTGCACATATTTTGTAGGTTGATTCCTGGAAAACTGAGGCATCCCTAAAACCGGGACTAACTCCTATTAGAAATACCTTTTCTGGTAGTTTGGCACTGGTACCTTAGTAAAAATATATGGTTCTCTGCTTGGTACTCTCTCATACTGTTTTTAATAATTCAATTAATGTTGCTCGATGTAAGTGATCATAACATATGCAGTCAATGGTATTTTAATTCCCTCCTCCCTAACTTAATTTTTCTTATATTATTGCACTAAACTCTTCAACATAAGGTTAAATATTGTTATTCTAGCCATTGTCTTAGTACTTATTTTTAAAGAACTGCTTTTGACATTCACTTACCTGTGTTACCTCCAGCTATTTGAGAGTTAAATTTTTATATCAAACCACTGTTTCCCTAATCATTTTGTCATAAGTGTACATGCTGACAAGTTCCAGGTCCTCTGCCATCTAGTGTAATGTGGACTCTAAAAGCATTAGGATAGAGCAGCCTTTGATCTATCTCACCAACTGTCTCCTGACTATGGGGTGGTGGGTCGGGATCAACCAGAAGGCCCACAGGATGCCCTTCCTTTGATACAGGACACAGGAGCATTGCGTCTTGGATGGAGGCACCTTTCCTATTTCCCATTTAGCCTGAGAATTCGTTTTCTTTAATCAGAGGATGACTGGCTATAGCATGTTGCACACTAGGAAGTGTGATGGCTGTGTAAAAGTGTTACTGTCTTGAGCAAATACTTACAAGTCACTATAAGCAGTAAACAGTAAGTACAAGGAATGATATGTCAGAAAGGCTCAGAGAACTGGCACTGGGGACAGAAGACCACCCCCGTTTATTTCACAGTTGATTCCTACCTGTTCTCTGACTCTTAACTCTTCTCTGTTTAAGAGGAAGACTGCAGTCACTATTTCAGCAGCAAGTTGAATAAACGAGTGAAGGGGCAGGAGAAGCCCCCTGCATTGTTTGTAACAAATTCCACACATAGAGGAGTATTTCTCTTTATTTAAAGAGGTAGAAAAGAAAAAAATCTGGTCCAGCATGAAATTATTGAGCATGTATCCAAAGAAGAAAAGTAGAGAACACACTACCTTGAAAGCAGAATAAAAGGACTCCTTCAAAAAATGATTTATGAAAGCAATTAGGAAGGAAAGCAAATCTCTTTGGTGTATCACCGGGTACAAGTGTCTCCCAGAACTGGAGCAAGAAGCCATCAGAAGAGAACAGATTGAAATACAGAAATGAGCAGATAACAGGGGCAGGGAATGGTAGAGATTGGGAAGTGATCTAATCTGATGTGACCGAGGCACAAAAGAATTAATAATTAAGTGGAAAGAACCAGATAAACACAGACAGTAATGAATGGAACACAGCTGGAGAGAAGGTCCCAAGCACAAAGACCCTTGTGGCAAAAATGGTGGGTGTGAGAGAATGAAGAACAGTTTAGGAAGCTCAGTGTTACCAAGAACACACCAAAAGAATAGGAGTAATATATATTAAAATTATAATTGGTCTGGAGTGTCATAATGTGAAACCCAGCAATAGTATTATTCTTTGCTCAGAGTGATATTAGCCTGCTTGGGTTTATTCAGTCTCAACATAATTGAAGATATGGATAACTGCATGTATGTTTAAGTGTATAGGATTGACAACCATATTTCTAAGTTTTTGTTGGATAGTTGAACAGAACTGTTTGCAGTCTCACTGTTTGAATCCGCACTTTATATGCTCCACTTTAGTATCTTGAATTTGTAAGAGGACAATCTGTAATCATCAACAAGTGATTTCTTACTGTTTATTTTTTCTTTGAAACTATGTATTATTTCTACCCATTTTCTGTTTTTTTTTTAGTCTTTCTTTAAATAAAATTTTTTTTAAAAAGACACTACAGTACCCAGTGCTGATCCCAGAGTGTCATGATGTGAAATCCAGCAATACTATTATTCTTTGTTCAGAATGACTTTAGCCTGCTTTAGTTTGTTTAATCCCACCATAAGTGAAGATATGGATAAATGCATGTATGTTTAAGAATATCAGATTCACAACCATGTTACTAAGTTTTTGTTAGATAGTTGAACAGAACTGTTTGCAGTCTCACTGTCTGTAATTCCCACTTTATATGTTCCACTTTTGTATCTTGAACAACTATTTGTAAAAGGACATAGTAAACATTAACTAGTGATTTCTTACTGTTTATTTTTTCTCTGAACATATGTATTATTTCTACCCATTTTGTTTTGTTTAGTCTTTCTTTAAATAAAAAAATTAGAATTGGGAAAATGTTTTATACTAAAAGCAGGTATTACTCTATAATCAAAATGCCACATTGATAAAATAAATGAAAGGAAAACCCAAACTTGCTACTCTAGAAATTTTGAACCAAATATAGTTCAAACCAGTGGAAAAAAATTAAGGTAAAAGCCAATAAATATTAATTCAGAGAAAACAACATATAAGACCTATAAGAATTATTGGACTGGCCATAGCCTTTTCCTCAGTAGTGTTTAGACACCCAATAGACAGGAAGCAGTGTTATGGAGATTTTGAAGGCACTAACTTTTCTTCAAAACCTCAGTAACATTGCTCCTATGGCATGAATAAAAAAAAGCTGTAATCCACTTTGTATCATGTGCAAAGGTAAAAGAGGTTTTCTCTTTGAAAATCTATCAATTTTCCCTCTCTGTTTAAAGTTTAATGTGTAATACTCCCCTGCAAGAATAAACTACATCCAGCAATGGATTTCATAAACCAACTGACTCTACCATTGAATCCCTCGCAATTTATTAAAGCCCCATTGTTTGACAGTCTAACTGGAGTCTAGCTCTGAGATAAGATGGTGGTTTATAATCATGTTGTGTTTCAAAACCCTCAGGGCTGAGTCCAGAGTCTGAACAGTGCCAAAGTCTGCATGGCAGTGACTTTCACCTTCCAGGAAAGAGACACCACACACACCCCTTCCTGAGGGGGAGGACTGGGGCTCTGGAGGGAGAGTGTGCTTGGCTTGAGAGAAACTGCTCAGAGCTGTGGTTGACGTGAGTAACAGCACCCAGCCAAAGTACAGGGTTTTTATCAAAGAGGAGACGGGAGGTAAACAATGCAGAGGTGCCTCGGTTCAAGGCTGCCTTTGAAAATCTTCTTTCCAAACTTTTAGGAGATCATAACTGAGTTAAAACCTACACATTTTTCCAGGAAGCCCTGGGTCATTATTTACATAGCGTTCCAGTTTAGCAACTATAAGTTTGTGCTTCCATTTACTGCAAAGCTGGATAGCTTTTTCTGAATCACATTTATTTTCTACATGTAAGTCAGTATTCTCAGTCTTCAAAGAGCCTTAGGTTGCAAACATAATGACAACAAAAAGTAGCATGGATCAGTACTCCACACTCAGAGATTAGTGTTCGTAATCTGAATTCTATTCAGATCTGTTACTTAGATTCACTAGTCTAATAATCTCTGGCTGCCCTGTATTAAAATCCCCCTATGAGAAGATTCTCTCCTTTTAATTTGGAAAGATCCCTGACTGGTTCAGAGCAGGGGACACGCCCTCAGAAGGCCATGTGACCGCTGTAACTCATGATGCCAGCCGGGCCACAGTGAGTTTACTCTAGATCAGCTCTTGGTTTCTGCTTTCCTGAATGTCCTAACATTCTTTGGTGCTTTTCCACTACTGAGCCAACTTTCGAATTTAATTTCATGGAAGTCCTCCTGGATGTGTTAAGAGCCCTTCGGCGTGTGTAAACTGACGGCACCCTTGCAGGAGAGCATTACCTAGCCCTTCATGAAGCCACCTCCGGCTCGCAGGATTGTAACTCAAGGCGCCAGAGCAGGAACGCAGCCCAACAGAAAGCACCTGTAATCTCTGAGAGAAGGAGAAAGACCGCGCGGCTGTGTTTGAATGAGTCTCAGGTAAAGCCAAGCTACCTTCAGCCTGGAATCTTATCCATGCAATCAGTTCAGTCTATGTTAAAAAAGATTTGCTGTTTCCTCAAAAAATCCACTTACACAAGGCCAGTTGCTCAATCGGCCAACTGAACAATGAAAGTCAGGTCTCCTCCACCCTTGGTTTTCAGAGTGAAAGTGAAATAAAAGCAAACAAGTCAAATGTGGCTATAAAATAAAAGCTGAAAATTCAGTTCATCCAAAAGAAGGCACAAACCACAGACAGGCCGAAGGGCAAATGAAGAGGAAAATGTCCGACTAAAAGCACAGGAGTCTAAGTAGATGTAGTCCATGAGGTGTAATTTAAATATAAAGAAGAATTTCTAGAAAACATACCACACACATGCGCCTGAAGAAAGGGAAGGGCCTTTCTGGAGGGGCTGTAGCACCCCAAGACAAAGGGGTCTGCTGAGCAACGAACCTCATGGGGGGCAGGACGCCTTAAAAAAAATGAGATGGCAAATGCTCAAGGGTTATTTCTTGACAGGGACCTGGGGTCATGAAAGTCTTCTCCGTCTTGATTGACTTTTTGACACCTTTGTCTAGGTAAGTCAGAACTACCACACTGGATGCTGTCGGTGTGTTCATGAGCTGTGTTATATGAAAGGGTTTTGGCCCAGACAGGACACTGTAGCCAGGAAAGCCTCAACCGGAAGCAGGAAGCCCCATCTCCCCTGCCCCTAGGAAGTTATCTGTGACGCCATCTTCCCGCCCCTGGAAATTTACATATGGCGCCATACCTAGGACCAATGGGCTACCTGTGCATCCCTAATGCCCGCCTTAGGTTCCACCCCAAACCGAGGCTATTTACATGCCCCCACGCCACATGTCCACCAGAGAGATCGATGGATGCCAGTGGTGGGGGTGCCGGTCATCTCTCTCCGTGTTCGCAGAATAAAGGCCGCTTTTTATTTTATACTTCTCATCTTTTGGAAATATTTTTCATCTTTTGGAAATAATCCTAGCATTAATGGAGACCCAATTTTGGTGCATAAGGATCAGCCCCAAAGGGTGCTGAGACTAAAGAAAGAGGCGGGTGGATCCCGGATGGTGCAGATGGGCCCTGACATAAGAGCACGCCGGAATTTCAGCCAAAGCAATGGCAATTTTGGTAATTTGGGTCAGAAAGGGGTGAATTCCGGGGTTACAATAAAAATGACCTCCCCCTGACTAAAATGTACCTACTTTGCCTCCAGATAATACTGAAGGTCAGGCGTATCTCTGAAGCCTACTCTGGTTGTAAAGCCACACGTGTGACTTTATGGTTTTATCTTTTTAGGGTTATCTGGGAAGCAATGCAGGAAAAGCCAACTCAGCCCCTCAAGAGCAGTCATGGTGATGACGACTCAGATCGCAAGTCTTGTCAAGCCAAATTCACATGGGTGTCAATGGCATCTTAATAAAGATTCCCGATGGCCTTTCCAGCTGATTGTAAATAGTCTAGAGCAGTTGTCCAGCTTAGAGAGTCACAACAGGGTCTTTCTGACCAATCTGCTGGGGGCTGAGGGCCTCTGTACTGTTTACCACCTAAAAAGTTACTGAATAGTTCATTTCTCTCTACCTTCTCCTCCCTTTTTAGTGTGTTTTTTTTTTTTTTTTTTGTCTTTTTCATTTTTATTGGTACCAGGGATTGAACTCACAACTGCCTGCTTACAAAGCAGGCGCTCATGCCGCTGAGCTAAATCCCCAGCCCCCCTTTTTAGTGTTTGTGGCCAGGAAGCCTGGACCTCACAGGTGCCCTGCAAGCACTATGACCACACTGCATCCCCAGCCTTGTTTTGGTCTTCACCAGACCTCAGCCCCCAGCCTTCCTCCCTCCGCTTCCTAGCAGCCAGGATAGACTACCGTGAGCTTCCACACAGCACTCTGCACCTTACGGTGTTTTGTATCAGAGGCGTGGCTGTCACCAGCAGTGCTTGTGAGGTGCCCAGTGAGTCGTTGGCTGTGAAGTCCCTCGGAGAGCTCTCAGCAAAGCCCTTGGCCACTCGAGCTGCCACCATTTCCCACACTCCCTCCCTCCCCCTGATGAATCATGGATGCTTGCAACAGCTCGTGACATTAAATCATCAGAAGAAAACCGGGAGGAAAAAAGGAAGAAAAACAATCTTTTCTTGAAAATTGGTTTTTAAGTTAGAAATTAGCTAGAACTGCTTTGGATGTCTAGGTCTTAGCTTAAGCAATGGCCAGCCCCTTCCAGAACTCTGATTTGCATGCCTAGCACACACCCCACGCTCAGCCTGGCTGCCTCCCGAGAGCACCTCAGAACTGGTGCCCAGAATTCTTTTTCTCTAGCGGAGATCCCTGGAGGAGCCCCATGCTCTGGACTCTCCCACCCTGTGCAGGCAATGCCTTTCTTAGTAAGTCTGTGAGAATTAATGAGTCAGAGGGCGTGGACTAGCTCTGAGTACTTGGAGACTGGTGGCCGGACTCTGTGACTTCACACAGGAAACCTCAAAGAGAGCAGAAATGATGCTGGTCCCACAGGACTCGGTTCTTGAAGGAACTTCTCAAAGCCCTGTTAACTCTACGGCTTCCTACCGGAAGGTGCAAAAGCAGGACTAGGACTGTAGCCAGGAGCACAGCCCTGGCCTACCCTGTGTGAGGTCCTGGTTTAACATTCAGCTTTAAAGACAAAAGGGTTTAGAAAACAGCCTATTGTCCTATTGAGCATAGTTTTTAAATATATTTTGTGCTTTACATGATCAATACAGAATATGTATATTTATTCATAATTTAGGTGCATATGGATGCTATGAAACATAAAAATATGAATTGAAGAAAACAAGATGAAGAAAGAAGTTAAATAAATAATGAAAGAGTTTTCAGTGTGATTTAAAAAAGACAATATAAAGTAAAAATAGCCTTTATTCCAAGGATATGGAGAGGAATCCATGACCATGGATGGCCTGGCTTTCTCTGGCCTGACCGTGGGGCATGGGACATACATACTACCTCTGACCGGGGGTGGCGCTTAGGGCGGGCATTGATGACACATGAGAAGCTGATTGGAATTTTCTTCATGTGCAAATAGGAAGAGGAGTTGTAATTACAGCTGGGAAGAAGCAGGAAGTGGTAGGCGTTCCCACTTTGGCCTTCTGCCTCGTTAGACCACTGCCATAACCCTACAGTAATTTATTCTAGGGCAGGAATCTTCCAAATAATATCCTAACATATTGTCTTGCTAATTAGAGATGGCTTCATAGTACTATCTCATACTGTTTCAGGCCAAATGTATACACATTAAGCGTGAGAGCTGGCTTCAGGAGCAATGGATGTACTGTAGTTCACATCTCCAGTCATCTTGCACTGTGAACTTTCTCAGATATTGGGGTTGCAATTTGTAACTTAAAATGTGGCCGACAAAGATGTGCACGGGAGAAACACTCAATGCCTTGCTCTTTATCGTGGAGTTACACACACGGGTGTTGTTTTACAGCCCATCTAAACGGCCTTATCCATCTTCTTGTTTTATAATATTTAATTTAGGTAAACCTACAAACGTTGAATCCACTTAACTGAAATGGGATGAAAGGTGAGGTTTACCCTGCCTGTCACCCACTGTATCCCAAGGATGTCACATCACTAGGACTGATGCCACAGGCCAAGCCTCAGTGCCTATGCAAATTGTGGTAAAAATCACGGTGAAGTCTGGTCCTGGTTAATCCTGACTGTCACTTCAGTTGCATGAGAGAAGCCCAAGAGGTAAGTCAAGTATCCTTTTGGGTGGGTCCGGCCGGTCTTAGGGCAGGACTGGGGGCTGTCTCCTCTCTGGCCCTTTCCTGCAGGCTCTAACCCTGCTCCCTGCTTCCGTGCACTATGAGTTGAGCAGCTTCCCTCTGCCACACTCTTCTGCCATGCTGCTGCCTTGGATCCAGTTTATTGTGGACAGAATAAACCTTTCCTCCTTACGTGTCTTTGTTTTTGTTTTTTTGTTTCTTGAGACGCAGTCTCACTAATTAAGCTTGGCTTGAGCTCACTAAGTAGTCTGGGTGGCCTCAAACTCACGGTGATCCTACTGCTTCAGCCTCCCAAATGCTAGGATACAGGTGTGCATACTACATCCAGCATTAAATTCCAACAGTGGAAGGCAGACTAATGCAAGGTCATATCTCATTTTACATAAAATCAAACATTCATGGCAGTATGAATACTTTCTGATGATAGCTCATTAAACTATTTGGAAATTTGTTGTACCCCAAAAACGAGATCCCAAAATGTTGTCCAAAAAATGGGACAAGACGTCTTTTTAAAGAAAAAAGCACTTTTTATTTATCCTGGCATTTATTCAACACAGTGCAGTTGAAGTTTGTAAAGCTGTGTAACTGGCTTAAAATTTTGACAGACTTTTATAGAAAGAACAATGAAGAAGACCTTTAATTCCCTTTGCTTGAGGGCAGAGAAGATTCCCAGAAATTTACAGTCTTTTGTCAGCTAATTTCAGCATTTAATTTTTAGATAACATCTGTCCCTTGCAGAGAGGAACAATGGTTAACATCTCAATCAGGTCACCCAGGAAGATGGCACATACAGAACAGTATGACGGGTGCTACAGTTATTTTACAACAATGTGGTCAGTGCCCCAAGGTGTCCGGTTGTAGAAAATAGTTACGTTTGCCAAGGAAATTAACAGGTAATTTGGTCATATAACTTGGGCACTGGCAAACATAGCACAGGATGACGAAGCTCTTTTTGCTAGTGTACAGCGAAATTCACTGGAATTCATGCAAACACCAGCTCCTTCTACCTCTCCACAAGAGACCAATCATGAGTGAAGTTTCACAGACCATGAGAGGAAAGGAAACTTAAAGACTGGGCATGAATTCTCAGTTCAGACCTACATGTGATAATATATTCTTTTCTTTTTCTGTAATAATCCTTGATTGCTACTTATCTTCCTGTTTTTAATAAAAAAACTAGTCCACGTTCTGCAAACTCAGTACACTTGGTGATGGCTAAGTGACTTAAGGGTTTGGATAGATCAAGCCTTCCCTCTTTCTCTTTTTTCTCATGACACTGCACTTTATAGCTGAATGCAGGCCATGAGGAGCTGAAATAGCCAGTGAAAGGGTTTTGGCCCAGACAGGACACTGTAGCCAGGAAAGCCTCAACCGGAAGCAGGAAGCCCCTATCTCCCCTGCCCCTAGGAAGTTACCTGTGCCGCCATCGTCCCGCCCCTGGAAATTTACATATGACGCCAAACCTAGGACCAATGGGCTACCTGTACATCCCTAATGCCCTCCTTAGGTTCAACCCCAAACAGAGGCTATTTACATACCCCCTCGCCACGTTTCCACTGGGGAGAGATCGCCAGAGGGCCAGCGGTGGGGGGTGCCGGTCATCTCTCTCCGTGTTCTCAGAATAAAGGCCGCTTTTTGTTTTATACTTCTCATCTTTTGGAAATATTTTTCATCTTTTGGAAATAATCCTATCAGCCAGGGCCTAGGAGCCAGAAAGGAATATAACTCTGCAGAGGGGCTGAGGGAACAGGTGACAATCACCACTAGTCCCTTAACAGCAGGTCCTGGATGTGGCTCTTCCCCAGCCAGTCTTGCCAATCTAATGCTCCGGCTTTGATTACTCACATTTGAATTTCTTGGAAATTCATTCATTTTGCTTAGAGGCTGCCAAATTCCAAGTGATCCTGCAGATGAAACCAACACCAAACATGCCAGACTCCTTTTACCAAAATCCCCTAGATCCACCTTGGGAAGGGAGGTCGTAACCACTAAGAAGCAGCGTGACTTCTATGCCAGGCCTCTTAGATTAGCTCTCCGGAGAGGCTGTGACTGCAGTCCCTGTTTCCGCAAGGATTCACTCCCCAAACACATGGCTGAGCCAGGCAGGATGGAGAGTTGAGCTCCATGCTGTCCACTGGGACTGAACCTCCAGAAAGAGGCTGTGACTTCCCAGGGCAACAAGAATCCTACATCATAGCTGAAGCACCGACCCCAGGCCTCAGCTGTGTTATGCAGATGACTCTCTCTGCATTTCTCGCCCTCTGCTTACAGCAGAGGTGACCTCAGACCTGCTGCCTAGCTCCAGCTCATTGGTAGTCACAACAGTCACTGTCACATATTTCCCACCCCGCTGTCACCCAGGCCACTCCCCTCATGGAGAATTAATAAAACCTGGGCTGGGCTCTGGGTGTGGCCTTGGTTCTGCACTTAGGACCCCTTAGCTCCTCATAACTGTATATACATCTTAGTGTCTTTAGTCTCACCATGGGTTGCACTGGAAGTGGTAGATTAGAGTTAACTGAGTAAAATTTCAACAACTTCTCCAGAGAATTACAATAATAAACCTTCCAGGACCCTGAGAATGTCGGGAAAGGGATCCCTATAACTGTTCACTCAAAACAGCCAGATGGAAACCACCCCCACTCTGCCCTCACTGCAGACAGAGCTACCTTCTCAGAGGAAGGATTAGTACAGACAGCTAAGCCATTTAGAAATAGTTTAGGTGGTCAGACAGGGCTGGGCCCTCAACAGGTCAGTGCAGAAGACAACACTGGCTGGAGGGGCATTGGCGGAAGGTGAGTCCTTGTCAAAGAGGGATGACTACACCCTCATACTTCCCCTGGGGGTGCACAGCAGTGGTGAATGTTCCCCCCCACCCAGACCTCAGTCACCTTGGGTGGGGACCCATCCTCCTAGGCCAAACCCTCCGGAAAGTCCTTGTCCTCCCGTGTGACATGCTTCCCCGTTTGATCACCATTTAATCAGCATTACCCATGGACTTACCACAGCTGACCTGGTTTTTTTCACCTCACACCCACCTGTGATTTTCCAGTGGATCAATGTTACCTACACCTGTAATTCTATTAGTTAACTACAGTTTTATCCGGCCTACCCCCACCTTACCTCACAGGACTCCCTGGGGCAACACACTTTCCAGGTGCTCCGCCTTCTGTCTTAGATGAAAGCTTTCATTCACTCCTAGGTTCTTCCCTCTCTTAAACTTTTTTTTTTTAACCTTTCATGATTGTTTTGACTTTGGGGAAGAGTTACAAGTCACACAGCACAGATCCGATGACTGAGATCCTCTTATCTACTCCTCTCCACCCTCTCTGGGTTTGGCTCTTGGCCCGGTGTGTCTGATGCTGACAAATACCCTTGTGGAGGAGAGAAAGTACAAGACCTTTGGCTGGGACCATTGGATTGCACTGCCATCCCGTGTAGTGAGGTACAGATGCTCAGTAAGGGAAACTGAGTTACCGTAGGAGAATCAGGATTCCTCTCTTGGAAACAAGCCTCAGACATCTGTTACACACTGGAGACATATATTTAAATGTAGACTTTTCATCACAGGAGAAGTGAATGATTAATGAATACATTTAGGAGCACCCAGAAGCATGTCACTGGTTTTCAAACCATGGGGCTGAAGGTTCCCATGAGTAAATGTACAAAGTATGGAAAACTGACGGAGCCTCTGAGATTGTCCACAATTAATAAATGAACTCCAGGCGTGATGGCACACACCTGTAATCCCACCACTTATCACCATTCGGGAGGCTGAGGCAGGAGGATCAATGGGAGGCCACAGTGAGTTCAAGGCTGGGCTGAACTGCATGCGAGACCCTGTCTCAATAAACCACAGAAAGGAAACAACCCAGGATGAATACATGAGAAAGAGAACTGGGTTCCAGACAAGAAAAGAAAAAAATGAAAGAGGCTGGTGAGGTGGGAGGAGAATAAAGACAGTGTCACAGTGGAAACAGTGGGGCTCCCCAGAGAGGCTGGCTGTGGACCTCAGGGGATGTGAGGACAAGTTAGGGTCGGTCTCCGGGGTGAGTATTCTAGAGGGGCTTCATGGCT